TGGCACTGTTTGGGCCCCTTGGTACCAATTGAGCATCGTTGCAACGCCACAGCCTACCTGAGTATTGTTGCTGACCATGTCCATCCCTTTATGACCACAAAACCGTTACTAGCGTGGTGTACCTAATAAAGTGGCCGGTGAGTGTATATTGTTACCGCCACCCATCATAATGTATATCKTGATATGAATTTTTTGCCATATCGCACATTCCTACGCTTGTTTGTTTCCTTTGTGTCTCCCTCTTTCAGGTACACGGTCTCTTGAACAGTCATTTAGCTAGAGGATCTTCTTCCAGCTGGATATGCCTCAGGGCACTGTGCCAAACCCTGGGTTCATCGAGAATTATTTTTTTACACTACATAAATTTCGTAAAATTTGTAAGCAGCATGCGGGTAACCGCAAATGTTTTATAAAGCCAGAGAAGGAGACCAAGTATAAATTGTGTCAGCTTGGACTGAAGTAGTGTAGCGATGTTACTAGGGCTGTGTTTTGGCAAGAGTTTAATGATACGATACGTATCACAACACGGGGGTCACAATAYGATATAAAAAAATAGCAATAACCAGCACTCCATAATTATCAAACGGTTTTAATAAGGGAAAAAATAGGATGCGTTAAAGAAAACAGTTCAACAGGGGACTATTATACTAGTTTATAATGGTCTCCAAACAATATTATCATTTATTGCGATAATTTCTGAGACAATTTATTGTACAGCAACATTTGTTATCGCGACAGACCTATTAGTGACAAGATGTCTTTCTAAAAGGAAAAATATGAAAAACTAATTTCTCCTTAATGTGGATATTTTAAGAGATCTGCTGTTCTGTAGGGGAAAATCAGCATGTGGTCAGCATTACAGACTTTTGTTTAAAAGCTTTGGTTTCCTGTCTGTACAGGATGATTCAGACCATTTTACCAGCTGACTAACAACTAAACCCACACTCACAATGCTGTTGCTTAATTATTTTGTGCTCTACCCATCTTACTGCTCTTGCTCTAGAATGTCAGACATCTAAAAGATTCAACCCGGATTAAAATCTATCTCCCACTGTGTTCAATTTTGTTTTTGCATGACCCCCTCTATGGCAGCACGCTTCGTGTCCTCCCTTTCCATTAGGACAATGCCATGTGGGAGGCCAAAAGATCTTATGCTGCTCAAACTACGACTAAAATCTTGGACAAGTATGAGGGCAGCCTTGGCAGATAGAATAGTCCTGAACCCACTCCATTCAATTTTCAAAAGAGAATAGGGTGAAGCTGAAGAGGCCAGAGAGAAAAGCTGCCAACAAATTCTCATTCAGGCAACAAAAACCCAAGCCCCTAATGGGCAACGGTGAAACGAGATGCTCCACAGCTCCGGGCTGGGAATGTTTCAGTGGGACCAGAGGGTGAAAAAAGGACGAATAAATGATTCAAACTTGGAAAGCACAAATTTATACTGATCTAGTTTAACCAACCAAACTGAATGCATCATTTTACAGCCTTGCAGCATTTTTGCATAAACAGCAATTCAATGGATTTAGCCCAGTACTGACTCAGATGGTTCTGAATTTCAACTCTTAAGTCTTTATAATTTCTAACTGAAGAAAGAGTCAGAGGCTGGAGTATCTGGTAAACGTTATTATCCTGGCTCATTAGCTGCATCACTGATTAGATTCTTCCTCAGAAGAAAACAACTGACAAACAATCTGTTAGCTTCTATTTTAGCTACCCTGYTTATGTACTTGCAGGCTACACATGCCATTATAATCTTTAGGGTATACCATCTGTAGAAGTATTCCTTGTGGGAATGCATAAATCACACTTCCTCTTATGCCAGAGATGAGAGAAGTACGTAGTTCTGGAAATCACAATCAAAATTTGAGGTTTGTGCAATCTCATACCATGTTGTGAGACCTAAAACATGGTTAGAGTACGTGTGGAGGATTTGTGTCAGCTAATACCACATTAAAATTTAGATCAACGGCTGTAAAATTACCTGAGTTTTGCATTTCCGATGGTCATTTAGCATTTAGAGATATTTTACTAACAGAGCCAGCAGTCTGATTTGTTGTTTCTATGCGTGAATCTTAACTCTGCAGAGTGAGGGAGAATCTCTGAGTGATTTAGGGTCAGCTGTGTTTCTTCTAACTGAAAACACCAGTTTAGTTAGTGAGACGAGCAAGATTCACACAAAGACCTCGGTGTGTGGAGAACTTCAACGCCTCAGGTTGTTGCATCATCGTCCTGAACGAGACACAGCTGCGTGTGATGTCACTCGCCCATTCAGCTCAGACAAGCTCATGTGTACGCAGCGTTTATGATGGAAAGCACAATATTTTATACTCCCAAAGACAAGGGATTTCTCAGGTCTTGTGTCTTTTTCTTGTTCTATAAGACAATTTTTAAATATTGYTCATCTGCTATGGATAGTTTAAGACCAGAAATAACTTATCCTCCTGTCTACTCTAGGAAATGACATTCTTAGACAAATAACTTTTTGAATTTGTCAAGAATTATTTGTTTTCTCCAACGGATCGTCGTCAGCAGTGGCGTACGTATTCTGGCAGTAGTCCACTTTAATTATTCTTATTAACACAACATATTTTCATAGTTTAATGCAAGAACTCACCAAAAAATTTATAAAAATGATTATAAGCAAAGCTGGGATCAGTTTGAAACTTTTGTCGATTCTGAACAATAAATCAATCTCACCCGACGTCGATGAGAGGCGCTTTGCCCCGCCCTCGTTTGTAGCACAGGTAGAACTCGGGGCTCTTCAGGCTGCCATGGTTTAGGTTGGCCGGCTGGCCACTGTAGGTGGTGTCAACACAGGTGAATCCCTCGGGGACCGTTTCACCCGCTGACTTGTTGATGACGGCCAGGTCAGTGATGGGTCCTTTAAATCCACCGGACTTGGTCTCCGACAGGTCCTGCTCCAGCGGCGTGGACTTGTCCGTGAGGCCGGCTACCACAAAGTAGTCGGCCACGCGGTGACCCTTGTCCTCAATCATGGCTGGGCGGTCCTGAGGATTATGAAAAATATATTTATTTAGTGTTTCGTGTGGAGGTAGCCGACGGTCATTCACAAAACGTACATTAAGGTTAAGATTATAATGTATAACATTATTTTAAAAGGTTTGACCCAAACAGTTCTCATTTAATAAACCATAGTTTGGCATTAAAGATGACAGACTACATGCATTCATTGACAAAACAAGGATCTTTATTTTAATTTGAAATGAATAACACAACAGCCAAGCTTTCAGATTTGACTTTGAAACGATGACATGAAAGCAGAATGCTAAATAATCCTCTGGCCAAGGTAATAAAAAGGGATCCTTAGACTCTCGCACCACAACGCAGCAAGCAAAYTGTGGAAACAGAAGTGGTGATAAAAGGACTTGGGTATCCCGACATCCAAAAACACTCCTGTCATTGTAGATCACCGCACCGCCCCTAACAGGACGACAGTTAAAGCTTTTGGTGTCAGCAGAGAACCGAGGCAGAGCCACCAAGCCGAGAGGAATGCTAAGAAAAGCCACCGACAGAGTAAATCAAATGGACAATCGAGACTATAAAGCAGCTGAAATACGGCCTCAGATGCGTCTTGAATAATTAAAAATGTAAAGCAGAAGATGCTTGCTTTAAAAGGTAGCAACAGCTACAATGTGCCTTTAGCCATTAACTATRAAATATTTTTATAAACATCCAATAAAAGCAGACTCAATCACCAGCTGTAGCGTTCTAAAAGATGCTAATCTAAACAGGTTGTTGAACGAGTTCATCCAATAAATTGAGTCAATTTAATCCTACCTTAGTGCCATWATTTTGTGTTTATATTCAGTGAGGGCTGCAACATCTGGAGTTTGCTGTATCATTTGATCATTTAAGTTCTAAGTTAGAGGTACAGGATATCAAATCATTCTAAGCACCACGTGTTTCTTGACGTGTGTATTTATAGATCGTTTATTTCCTCTTTTTTTTACTTAATTTTGTTTGTTCAACGTATTTGTTTGGGGTAGTTGCCAGGATGGGGATGTTGTTTATTACTGCCTTTATTAAAAAAAGCAAAAAGATCTTAAAGCAAGCACTTGGCCTACAACGAGCTTTTAGAAACTACAGAGAAGTTCAGTTTTTTCCAGTGGTGAGTCACTTGAGACAGGACAAAAAAAAGCTTTTACAGCCACACTGAGGAGAACAATCCACATGACATTTTGAAAGGTAAAAAGCTGAAGGCAGAAACATAAAAAAAAAAAAATAAAGCCCATATGAATTAGTTTCTCGTGTGCCACTGGCGTTTCTTCAAGCAGGATAGAAAAGCAGGTCTGGTGARAAAAACCACTGACCTGTGACTTGTAGTTGGTGGGAGGTGGGAGCTGGACCTGCCTGAGTGGAAATTTGTTCAGAAAAAAACACTTTTCACACCCAATTTCAAAAGCAGATTCAGCTTTGCAGCATTGTGAGTTACACATCTCTATTAACGTGTCTTGTGCAACACTTCAGAGTATGTAACAAAAATTTAAAGCATGTTTCATTCCTTTGGGACAAAGATCTAATGCAGTAAGTACTTCTTCGTAAATTTCACTTCAACTTGGCATGCTTAAACACACTGCGTTTATAGTCCAGGTTTAATACGATATTATAGTTGGATATTTGCCATAGTTTGGCATATAGCAATGGTTAACATAGTAAAAAGAAAACACTCTTACGAATAATCTTTCAGCAGATAAATGAGAATACATTCTTTATTTTTTCATCCCTTTAAGAGACACTCATTCRAAAGAATGTCTCTAAATCCTGTCTTGTAATCGACTCCAGATGTGCTTTTTCACAACACAATGAAGAGTTTTCTCTGAGACGCTCCTCGCTCTAGGTTTGACTGGATCCAGCTCTTGTTTCATGATGATGCACRTCTGCCTTTTTAGAGCTACGACTTTCTGCTCCGAAGAGATTTACTGCATTGTATCCATGGCAGCTGCTCACTGGTCAAACCCTGATCAAAAGCAAACGTAAAAAAAAAGCAAAAGCAAAGTAAATGTACTCTGATCGTTTAAGCCAAGGCCATTTGGTCTYCCTGGATTTCGATGTCTTTCTTTTTTGGTTCAAGTTGCGTATTTATTTTAGAGATTTTTTATTTTTGCACAGTTCTGACGTGTCATTAACATATTTTTGTCTCCATGTTTTATCATCTAAGCCAGTGGTTCCCAACCTTTTTTAGACTGGTGTACCCCTGAGCCATGTTGTCATACCACTAGTATCCCCTCTGTCMAACGTAATAACKCTCTAAAACTATAATGTACAACAGCTGATAATTAAATGAAAACGATTTATTTAACACCCTAAAACATTTAGTTCTCAGGCATTTTATTCATTTTATTCTATTCAAAGAAAGATAAAAAGATAAATATAAAAACATTACCTTGAAAGTGAATAAGTAAATAAATAAACCAGATAACAGCAGGAAGCAGTGGCGTCCAAAACACAGCAGAAAATCATCCAAATGAGCAAATTCCGTGAGATTCTGCGTTTTATACTGGATTCCATTTTGTGTCAAATCCGTGATTTCCACATTGAGGAAATCATAGGGACCTACATATCCCAGTCCTACTTTTATACACCTGGCTGGGAAATTTTTCCACGTACCCCCATAATATGCACGYGTACCCCAAGGGGTACACTTACCCCTGGTTGGGAATCACTGATCTAACCAACGAGAATCTAAATTGGGCAACAATCGACCAACACTGGGCATGCAGAGCGTGAAAGAATGGCTTTGCCCCTAACCTCTTAAAGCCGTCGTATCAGTCCTTCAAGATTCTGACACTATGCTCAATGACATTACAGTTAAAYAGAAATTAATTTTCAACATATTAAGCAGGCTAGTTTTAGAGTCATTTCAATAAATGCTGCAGAAGGTTGAGTGTAYGCAACTTCCCCTTTTAACTTAGAGGCCAGAGGTTCACATATCATCTGTGAAGGTGTTGCTATTAAAGTAGTGACTCGTTTACTTTAAAGCTTTGGCTTGATGAAGAGGAGCACAGAGAGTCTAACTCAAACATGACAACTTAATSAATGTATATTTTGCCATTTAATATCTTCTTTGTTCTTATAATTAAACACGTCACTAACTATTACACTGACTTCTTCATAAGACCACAGGCAAATTTTCACTGATGTGTGAATATCATTAGCAGCAGCCAGCAAACCATACAAATCTCTCTCTCCAGAGCAGCCCGCAATAGATAAACACCAACGTCGCYGTGGCAACCTCGCTCTAACAATGCCAGGCTGCTCGACCCTGAGCCGCGACTAGTGTTACTCCAACCTCAGGAAATCGATCTCCAAGTTTACTCTCAGCGTTGCTGACGTTGGCTTCACTCTGCTGTCAGACTCCAAGGGCAGTGAAAACACTTCAGATCCAGGATTAGACAAATAAGAACAAAAACGGCATAAGAGGATTAYTTTTGATGTCCCTTTGTGAGCAAACAACACGTGCCAGGTGCCATAAATAAACCTAAAATCTTTGAAGCAATTGAAAAAGGAAGTAAGGACGGGTTKTTCAGCCGTTCTTACGAAYARTTTGGGGATTTTGAYGACAGAAATACACCAAATTATTATSAAATGAGAGTCAAACTAGTGCCTTATTGTAACTGGAGTCAGTGCCTGTAAAGAGGTCGTGTTCTGCCCCTCCCTCGTCATTTGAAAACCTGTTCCTGTGTAGCTCCTGAGCCCTCATGATCGAGTGTCACCCTCTTTGTCTGGGCTGCACTCGGTGTGTAGGGTCACAACAACGGAAAAAAGCTTTAAGGCACACATACAGACAAAAAAAACCTCTAAATACGCACAACATACACACAAAAGCAAGAAGAAAAAAAACTCATATAACCTGCCTGTTTTTAAATTATAAAGCTAGCAATAAATGTAAGGTACCCTGAAGAAATACATATCCCTGCTATTTTTTTCGACCAGGTTTTAGACTGTGTTGGAGATGACTCTTGGCTACTACCACACCGAATTTCAGCTCGGTGTCTGTTAAACTGAGTTAGTCATATGTGTGTTTGAGGTGGTCAAACAGCTGTGGTAGCCATCTTGAATCAAGTTGGGTTTTAAACAATCAGTTGTAGATGAGCGTACAAACGTTGAAACTTTTCTGTCCTCACATGTCCACGTGTCAGTTTATCATCATCTGTGATCMGAGTCAGTCCTCACATCAGATTTTCCAAGAGAGTTTTGTTTCTATCRCAGAGGTTCTGGTCTTGACTTGCTCGAAAGCATTTCAAAGGCTGGTTCTGCAGCTCAACGAACCCCCGAGGGCAGACAAAGCTCTCGAGTTGCCCTCCATGAAACGGGGGGAGGTCTTTAATTTCACATGCCTRCACTAAAAGACTGTGTTTAAGGCGTTCACCTGTCCTGAACCTCCTGGATCGTTTTAGCAAACGTCGCGTAAAAGCGCTCACTGAGTTTCCCCTAGTGGTCTGCCACACAATGATCTCATCTTYTTAACACAAAAGAGCCTGGAGGCTCGCTCCCCYGGGGGTGAAAGAGCCTGCCTCTTTATGAGGACATGCACGAGTGGAGAAACAGTGCTGGACAACAGACAGAGCTGTGTCCGAGTCCTGTCCGCAGGAGTCCTGCAGCCAACGTCCACACTCAGCTGTYCCAAAACAGCTGAGGACGACACACTCATGTTTGTGAACACAGCTAACGAGAAGAAAGAGACATTGTTTTAACTGTGAAGATGTAATTACACAAGAGAAGGGATTGTGTAGTTTTTGTCGATTTATTGACAGATTTCCGATTTTTGCGGATTTTGATTTTGGCTCAAGCCCGAGTCATCTCTGAAGGCCCTGTCACACTAATATCTTAGACAATATATGCCAACTTATGACAATTACTGGTAGTTTTATAYCTAAATTCCTAATAAAATTTATATAGTTGATCAATTTGTTAGCATTACAGTATGCATAAAAGAAGCTTCCAGTTGAAGTTTTTTAATTCCATTTTTGACATTTTCATAAGWTGC